AATAAGCAGCCATGGAGGAAAATAGGCTTGAGATCCTTGTCATGTCAAACCAAAGCAAGACCTGTGGGGACATCATGGAGTAGTACAAGTTCTCAGAGCTGGTTCAGGTCTAGATCCCACTCCTCTTTCATCGTAGTTGAGAGATCTTAGGCAAACTTCATTTCTCTTAGTCTGAACTCTCTTAGCTACAAAATAGGAATTGACCGTTATGCTGAAAGCAGAGTAAGCTGTTTCAAAGGAGGTGTGTGTCTACAATGCGTAATGGTTGCTTTTTTCCCTATTTTCTCCTTTCTCTATTTAGCTAACAATAACACTGCACTCTATATTGGCTTTCTTTGTGAGACAGAAATCTCTGGATCATGGGTTGTAAATAAAAGCTAGAAATACATATGTGGAGTCACTGTGTTAGAAACACCTCCCTCGGTGTGATGAGAGTACATGTGTTTCACGTTTTAAAATCCTACATCTTGTAGAGTGTGAAGAATTTCCTAAACTACTCTGGCAGGTCCCTAGTCAGGAAAGCTGCTCCACAGGCAAATCTGACAGACAGAGACACAGGAACATGCTGAGATGCCCTTCAGCAAATAAAGCCAGGCTTTGACTAAACATACTTGACCAAGGAATTTTCTCTTCTCCAATTCCCAGGTTTCCTGTGACTATCCATCAGACACCCCTCTCTTCTCCCATTGAAGTGATTTCTTGGGACAGGAAAACATGCACCTTTTTTAAAGTTTATGTTCTCCAGTGATGCCAAAGATGGACTGGAGGATTTGAGGCTGATAGTGTCTAGTTACCTTCGGCAGGTGGTATCCAGACAACCATGCTGAGATGCCCTTCAGCAAATAAAGCCAGGCTTTAACTAAACATACTTGACCAAGGAATTTTCTCTTCTCCAATTCCCAGATTTCCTGTGACTATCCATCAGACACCCCTCTCTTCTCCCATTGAAGTGATTTCTTGGGACAGGAAAACAAGCCACTTTTTTAAAGTTTAGGTTCTCCAGTGATGCCAAAGATGGACTGGAGGATCTGAGGCTGATAGTGTCTAGTTACCTTTGGCAGGTGGTATCCAGACAATGTGGTGTCAACTGCTACGGCTCTGGGAACATTCGTGGGGAGGATGTTGCCCATTCTCAGCACCTCGTGGACGACAGCATTGGTGTAGGGCATGGACTCTCGGTCGGCCAGGCTGGGCTGTCTCCCCTGACCAATCACTCTGTCAATTTCAGCCTGTACCTTTTCTGCAAGAAAATAGTAGACTCCATTAAATTTTAAACTTTAATGCTTTCTTCTGAAATATAGAAGACCTTCTTGGCATTTTTTTTCCTTATAGAAATTTATTTTACAGAAAAATGAGAAGAAACAGATCTCCATGTAATGATCACCCCACCCATCAGTGTTTCCTAATGATTAACATCTCTCAATTTATTATATTCTGATTGATAAAGCAATATTCACATATTTTAGCTGTTTAGTTAAATGATAATAAATATGTTCACATCATTCTAGAAATAAAGGCCAGAACATCTTGCAAAACACGTTCTATGTCATTAGACAATTCTTGGTTTATCCCTCCCTGTGTTCTGTTTTCTGGGTCTACAAATTTGACTGTCATACAGAACTCCTTGAAGTTGAATAGTACAGGCTTTTCGGTTTTGTTTCTTATAATTTGGCACAGTGTCCAGAATGGTCGTCCATGCATGTAAACTCCTTTCCATCAGGACTCGATTTCTCTCTGATTTCATGTATGCTCCACATTTTATCTATTCACTGTCCGTGAATACTCTGTTTTTATGACATCTTTAGACTACTTTGTATATTGTAAAACAGACATGGATGTAATTTCTATTTAAACCCGCTGATATTTTGTAGCATCTCTTCCAGAGGTCAAATCTGTATTCTAACAGAGCAGGTTTTAAATGTTTTAAAATAATGCAATATTGGGCTATCAAGATGGCTGAACAGATAATGACACTTTCTGCCAAGCCTGATGACCTGAATTCAGCCCATAGGTCCCACATGGTGGAAGGAGAGAACAGATTCCCATCAGTTGTACTCTGACCGCCACACCGGGTCCTTGGCACATATGTGCCTGTGCATACTCACATATATACACACACATACTAAGTTAAAATGTAATAAAAAATTTACAAAGTAATTTTCAGGTAAAAACACATTTGAAATGGTGGCCCATGATGTATCTACATAAAAATAAATGGTATGTATGTAATTCATACTGTAAAATAAATAGTTGCCCTGGGGAGACAGCTTATTTGGTAGTCCTTGTTTTGAAAGCATGAGAATCTGAGTTTGATCCCAGAAACCCCTGTTAAACAAAGTCAGGTATTATGGTATGTGTTTGTAATGATCCAATCAAGAAGATCTCTCTCATTTCAGTTAATCCCAGATCCAGTCAAGTTGACACCCAGGATTAGCCATCACAATGGCAAATTAACAATCCCACTGGACTGGGGAGACAGAGGTAGGTGGATCCCTGAGGCTCACTGGCCAGTCAGCCTAGCTTACTTAATGACATCCAGGCTGGTGAGGGACCTTGTCTCATAAAAAAGTAGATAGTGCTTGAGTGTGATCACTTGAAGTTGTATTCTCGCCTTCACAAGCAGGTGCACAAACCTGCAAACATACTTCCACCTAAATACGCACACACACACACACACACACACACACACACACACACACACTGAGGAAATACAGTGTTATTTAGCAAATTTATTTTTACCATTTGGGAAGCACTCTGATTTCTCTATTTAGTTTCATCTTATGGTAAAAATATTGGAATTGAATCTATTAAATTGATTTTTGTCTCATGAATAAATTATAATCCATAATTTGAAAAATATTTCCATGATGTGAAAAATGTTCCTATCCCCAAATTGCTAAACTCTTCTAGAAACTGGAAGAATAAAAATGATAAAATGGGGCATTGTTGAACAGTGCATAAATCACAGGAATGGAGGTATGTTGGGTCAACTCTGGAGGAAGAGAATGACAGTAATTCCCCCAAGTGAGTAAATTCCTAGAGGAATCTGAAACATCTTAGAGAAGATTCACCTAGACGGAGAGAAATTGTGATGGAACATTCTTGATAGAGGGAAGACCCAGTGTCATGGCTTAGAGGCATGACTAAGGACAGGGCCAATAGGGGACATGTAATCCAGGGAAGCCACCATGCAGGGCGGGTGGCTTGAACTTGAACACGCAGAGAGAGGTGGGCATCACAATGTGCCAGATCCTGGAATTAGGAGATTGGACAGGATCCAGGGACAATGGGAAGGCATTGATAAAGTGGAAGGGGAACATGAGTGGATGTTCATATGGAGACATCAGTATTTACTGAAACGTTCCACAGTATCAGTTGATACATTAGTTTTCCCCTAGGCTCTATGTTTCATGAGGGCACAGACTCTGGAATATCTGCACCCTGGACCCATCAACGTCCTGACAGAGCATGTGGAGTACACATCCAGTCAAAGTCCACATCGCCTCACAGCTGTCCTACCACTTCCTCTGCACCATGCTAACTTATGTGCACGTTCTGAGCCACAGCTTCCAGAAGCACCACCCTGCCTTGTCCAGTACATTCCCCACATGCTCACCTTGGACTTCTGGGTAGAGGGCCATGTAGAGCAGAGCCCAGCGCAGTGTCGTCGATGTTGTCTCTGTTCCAGCAAAGAAGAGGTCCAGTGTGCTGCAGATAAGGTTTTCTTCATTGAAGCTTGTAGAAGACTTGTCTGGGTACTAGAAAAAACAGTGTGTGCTTGTTAATTCGGAGGATTTGTGATTTTCTCAAAACATGAGTTCTGAACTCTGGGAATGAATTTGGAAAAAGTCATTCAAAATGGCATTCCCCTAACATCCTCCAAAAGCAGCTTTATCAGAAGCATTGTACGGCCCCATGTGCAGGAGGGTTTTATTCACCTTGGCAGTTAATTCTAAAGGACCCATTTAAAACAACATTCCCTTTGATTTCATCAGGAAGCATAGTGGTACTCCTAGTTCAGGAGGCAGGCTGAAAGCTTCTGGCACTTGGGTGGACAAAAACCAAGACAATTCTTTTCTCATGACTAAAATTTTGGAAAACCTTTTGTTCAGTAAGAAGAAAATGGGATAAAAAGAATATGAGACTTCTAGATAATATCAGGTGCAACATGAAGTTACCTCATGACTTAATGAACTAATTTCCCCTTTCTTTGACTCAGTTTTATAAAACGAGAATAACACAAACATCTTAACATATCATTATCAGTTGTGTGACATGGTCTTTGAAGTCAAGAGAAGCAGACTTTTCTCCACTGTTTGGCCAACACAGCAGGCTTCCCCTTTGATTTCTAAAGAGGGCAGGTTTTAAAGGTTCCACTCTCCAGCTTCCCCTTGCCTAACTTTTAAAAAAATATATCTTCCCACCTTCTGCACCCCCCAGAAGCCCCCCACCTATAAAAAGACCCCAGCTCACTTCGCCAGGCTGCCATTTTCCCTCCTGGGAAGAGAATCTGTCCCATGTGTTCCTTTGCTAATAAACTCTATTCTTCTGGAGTTTTATCTATGTCCTGATGCTTTCTGCCAATCAGCTGGATTCATCCATCACCTACTTCACTTATCAGATGGTGCGAAAACCCGGTTCTTACTTCATGGGATCTTGTACAAACCCTCTGACTAGACCTTTCCAAAAGCCACTAATTTGGCTTTCAGGTACACTCCTACCCTTCCATTCTCCTTCTCTCCCCATCTCTCTGCTTTGCTTTCACCTCTTTCCAGCTCTCTCACATCTTCTTTTGATCTCCTTTCCCATTGAATTCAGTCACTCCGCTCCAGACAGCACTGGTCTACAGGCACGGACCTACTTCCACTACTCACTCCAACCCATTTGCTACCTTGCCCCCAGCATCCCATCCTCCCCCCCTTCTTCCTCACTTTACTCTGGATGATTTCTGATACCATTCAATCCAATTTTAGGTCTCCTCTCCTTTGCTTCTGCCCTTTACTCTAGGTTATCTTTCCTCTTTCCTCTAACTACTTATGGATTCCCTAAACATGCAAATGCTCTGGATCCTTCTCCTCTCTCCCCCTCCTGTACCTCTTGTTCTCCTTCTAACCCCTCCCCTACAAATGTTTACGTCTCTGTAAGTCTATCTGCTTTTCTAAATTTTTCAAAGAAAAAATTCTTCTTTATATCCCTTTTAAACATACTTTCATTAATGCTTTCAGTTTCCCAATACCTGTACTTCTTTAATTTTCTCTTAAGCTTTCTACTTCTGGTCATATGGCTCCCAGTCCACCAGGTGTCTGACCTCCCACACAGGCTCTAAACCTGCATGCCCCCAAGGCTTTTTTTCCTTCAGCTATTCACACCCTCCAGGCAGCTGCCAAGATTGCCAGCTTGCCTGCTCTGGGGATTTTTTCTTTAACATTCTAATAAAATGGTAAAAGTTTTCTGGCTGGGCCCATTCTTAAATTCTCGTATGAATGTGACTAAGAACCCTTTAGGGGACCATTTCTCCCCATTTTGACCCACATAGGCTAAGGCTGGGCAGTTTCGCTGGAGCATTTAAAGAATATCAGGCGGCTTGCCCTATGGACAAATGGAAAACATTTTAAAAGCCATTTTTTTTTCTCTTATACTTTTTCTCAGGCGAAGGGGCTCAAAATTTTTATCTTGGGCCCTGTTGGGCACCAAGCAAGTGGTGCTCAGACACCTACTTTTCTAACTAGACCTAACCATTTTATATTTCACTATACATGGAAAGCCACAGGCACTGCTCCTGTTGGCATGCAATGATTCACTTATATAGGCTTCTTCCTGAATCCAGGGTCCTGAGAAAAATGATGCCTTCCATAGTCCAGGTGTAGCGAGGGTACTTTCTTCTTTTATATCAAGTCTAACCTACTGGTACCAGGGGTGCCTAGGATTCTCTTGCAATTTATTTTTGTTTTCATTTCTTGATAATGTCATAAAATAAGTAATGCATCTCTAGTTCAGACTAAGGGAATAATTCCAGATCTCCACAATGAGAGTTCAAATCTTAACTTGTTTAGGGCTTGTTTCTAAAGTGGATTACTTTGAGTTTTAACTTCTATGGTATATTTACTGGTTTTTAAAAATGTTTTAAGTTTTTACATTGACATATTTATGGATTTTTAAAAGGATATTGTCTGCATGAAATCTTTATCTGGTAGTTTTAAAGGAATTATTTTGGATTTTAACATCTTTTATATGGTATTTACTAATTTCTAAAACTATTTTAAACTCTTACTGTTTTACATAGTATGTTTGTTAGTTTCTAAAGGGAACTGAAAGTTTTTCTAGCCGTTTGCCTTCAAGGTGCAAAGGGAGCTGACACTCTGTGATGACTAGACCTGTAAAGCACATGGAAATTTGCTGTACTCTAGGGCCAAAACCTTACAAGAGACAAGCTGCTATCAACACATAGTTACAACAATGAGAGGTAAAAAGTAATTGTCTACTTGAGTGAGAGGCTTCAGATGCCATCTCTACTGGTCTTAACTCCTCCCATTTCTACATTATGATTCTAAGCCTTTTTTTCCCTTGAATAGAGCTATTTCCCTCTCTGATGCTCAGATGCTCTATGCTTGCTTCTGTTCCTGCCCCATCATTCCCTGAGTGCTTTCTAGTTATAATGTCAGGGTAATATTAATTATATTGGTAAATTGTCATGTGCTGTTTGAGCTGAGACGCTGGCTCTGGAGATGGGATTGGCCCTCCTACTTCAGACTCAAGTCTATTATCTCAAGATGTGTTCTCCAAGACTTTTCCTGGTTCAGGCTGGCCCCCTGACCCTATGACAAGGAGACAGAGAACAACAAAACAGCCTAAGAGTAAAGGCACTGTGCAGTTGAGAACAGCTAAGGTGTAAATTAATTTCAACAGAGGGTATTACTTTCTATAATGAAACTAGCTAATGGGATT